GTGCATGGCGCCGTCATGGTGCTTGACCCCACTTTTAACACCGACGCCATGGCAACAGCACTGGGGATCTCTAGCAACAAGCACATGGTTCGCAGACACCTTGTGGAGGAGATGCAATCGCTGATCGGCACGGCCAGGTGAGAGGTGACAAAGAGACTCCAAGGCAGATCCAACTAGTCCAAATGACTTTGTTAATGAGGAAGTCAATAAGATATCATTTAAATGAATTTAATCGACTATCTCTGATAATATATGCTATATTTGTCTGCAAATGTTGCACAAAAGCTTATTCTGTCACAATAACTACTTTTGTTGGACTATATATTGTCCTTGAAAAAATCTCACTTGGTAATAAACACATCTTTGCATATTTATTTGTGCATTTCTTTTGCTTTAACATGTATGTGACTATAAATATAATATTCCTATTTTATATAGTTGTAGGATTTCTGATACTGTAAACAATACTATTGTCATTTTAATACCATTTAATGTCACCAATATAATGATAATATAACAACATAATAATGCAAGTAGACACTTTCAAAGAGCAATCAACTTTTAATATTCAAATATGAACAAAAATGCTTGAGTCTTGGGTACTGGTAGAGAAAGCTCTGTGGGTTATTCTGGTTTCTTGTTGGATAAATGTCGGTGACATTCTTACTTGAAAAAAAAACATCCTTTTAAATGCAACAGGCAATACACAGGTCAGCAAAAATGATAGAGGTCATGTCCATGCACAGTATGGTACAATAAGTGCATACCTTAACTATTTACTTAACTAGTTGTGTAAGATAAATGAAGCTGCGCTCAACACTCTGGTCTTTCCCGCGTTCCTCTGCAGGGCAGAAATCAAGCAGGACTACGAGCATCTGGGCCTGGGAACCCCACCAGCTCTGCTCCGGCAGAACTCCCCGGGGAGACCGCCCAGCTCCACCGGCCGACACACTGATGACGAAGGCTCGCTGAGGAGGAGAGCTGTCAAGGTGTCGGGGGAGGGGGGTACTGTTCTTGAAACTTGCATTGGAGTTTTCTCTCAATTTCAGATGACTTTCTGATATAAGAACAGAATTTAGGATTGTTCAGAGCAGAAAGAATGCACCTTAGTGCTGATTTGGACCCGAGTCACACATGTTATCACTCAACTTGGCGTTGGTCAATGAAAAATGCATAGCTAAATTGAAAAATATGCGTGTCAAAAATGGTATCTTATTTTATAAAAAAGGTAGTATGACTTGTTTATGGCTCAAAGTTTAGGACTCAGGACTTGTCAGACTTGACTTTGGAATTGCAAAGACCAACTTATGACTTGCAAAACAGTCACTTTTCCAAAATACAAGATAAAAACTCAAATAAGACTGATGGAATGGAAATGTATGTTTTAATGACACTACACTACAGGTACAACGAAATGCTTTATACATTTTGTTATACCTGTACAATGACAATAAAGGAATTCAAATGTTCAAATAATGTGTGTTTCTGTTTCAGCCTCCAACAGGCTTCAGCCCCAAAGCTCGCAATGGGCGGGACTTGAGTTGCCATAGCAGCTACGGCTCCCTGCCTCGGGAGGGCAGAGACCAGACCCCGCCCCGATCGGAGGGAAGCCCTCTCCACGGTTACACCAGCATCGAGGTCACCAATGTGTGAGGTCATCAGAGTGAGACGAAACACCAGCCGTCAGCTTTATCACATATCCATCGACATCATGAACATTTGTCATGTGCTCCTGGACATGGGATGGTTATTTTTTATAGAGATGAAAATATAAAGGAAAGATTGCACTTTTTTAATGGGACAGGAGTATTTTTCTCAAGTTTCCTGCTAAAGGGGAAAAAAACAAGGTCATTGTGGGCAGGTGGTATTTTGATGTTTTTGAGGGGGGGATATTTCCCTTCTCCAAAAGTCGAGAAAAAAAATGAAGTACTCAAGCTGAATGATTATTTTTCTATTTTCTTGTGTGTAAATGGTTCCCTGTGAATCAGGATGTGACTTATACATTTCTATTGTTGACTGTTTCTTCTGAGGGAAATTAGATTAAAAAAAACAAGGCTGTTTGTACGGATACTTGATGACAAAATGAAAAAAAGGTTTCATATCTATGTAAATTGTTCTTGTTTCATTCAATTCTGCTGTATGTGATGCCTTGTCAATGTAGCTAAAGACAGTGGCCAAAAAAAGCTAATTGAATTTTAGATTCTTGAATCTAGAGGTTTATGTTTGATATTCATTTTTCATCTTGCACATTAACACAGTTGTGTCCAAACCAATGTAGCACCCTCTTCTGATGTGTTATACTGTGCAGTAAACATGGGAAATATTTTAACAATGCCAGCAAAAGATGACTGCAGAGCTGTATGTCCATAGAGGCCTAAGGGCTGAAAGGTGTGAGGATGCAAACACTGTATGTGAAAAGTGAATCTGAATGAAATAAAGAACAAAAAAACAACAGCTGATGTTTAAAGAAGGTCACAAAAAAGTTGATTTCTCTGACCTGTGTCTTATGGAGTGTATGATTAGGAGCAGCTCTGACAGTGTGTGAAAGAGGAAGTGATAGAAACACTGGACATTTTTTAATTAAGGGCAGAAGCGGAACTAGGAATATGACTGTAGAAATTCCTAGTTAGAAGAATTAAGGGGTAACTGAGGGAACTAATTTGCATGAGGAGTGTGTGCTTCACTGCCTCAACTGTGATGTGAGGCAGTGGGGTCCATACCAAACTCAGTACCTTTGTGAGTGTTGCTGACTCTGTACACTTGACTGATTTTGCGACTGTATTTCGGTGGGTCACAAGAGTAATCTCCTCTCTCTGCTGCCTGTTGGGCCTGTTACCACAAGTATCTATTTAGACCACCTTGCAATACAACATGGTCCAACTTCCTCCTCTTACTCACAGTGACTCGACTATTGTGACCTGCCAAGGATGACACAGCAGCAAGTGATAAAGCTACCCTCTGCGCTACCTTGACGTAAAACCTCTCCACCCACCCACGGTTGAGAAACATGATGACCATTTGTGGGTGTAGTTCTACCTGATTGATTTAAGCTACTTATTAGAGAAACAGTCAGAGGGAAAAATACAATAACATGCTCATCATGTAGCAGCAATAAAACCCTTACATGTCAGAGTTATACATGGTTTTATTTGTAAGGAAAGGTACACTGCATAGCATATTGATTGAGGAATGTAATGCCACATGTATTTATAGCCTAAGTATATTTGCTACCATGTGCCATGTTGAACCAGAGCATTTTCCCTTGTAGCTGCCTACATATCTCGTAATTTGATAACAGGCTGACAGTGGCAGGACTTCCAGATGTAATCAAGGCTTGTTCACTGTGATACTACATTGTCCTGACTCCTGTGTGTGTGTGTGTGTGTGTGTGTGTGTGTGTGTGTGTGTGTGTGTGTGTGTGTGTGTGTGTGTGTGTGTGTGTGTGTGTAAGCTTAAGAGGAAGAAAAACCTCCCCAGAGCCCAGAACAACAGAAGGAACAATAAGAGGCTGGGAATGGTTTTGTCATTATTGTGAAATAGTCCAGTCCTCATTATCCTAGCAGGCAGATACAGAGGAGGACACTTGGAAAAACAGCAGGGCCAAGTGTAGCCTAGTTTTACTGCCTTGGGTAACTCTCCTGCAATGTGTAAACTACATCAACACAAGAGCAAACACAGAGACGTCTGTATGCGTGTAAATCACCAGCTGTATCAGCAGGGTGGGTCGCTGAGGTTGGGTCCGTCCAAAGGGCTCAAAAGGAGTGACAGTGAGTAGGTGGTAGTATAATTATCGTTGCGTGAAGTATGATGTACAACTCAGTGACTTGTCTATGTTTACTGCACGGGGAAGTACTGAGCACACATTGAGTCAGTGGATTTCAGTCTTACTTGATTGTTGTTATTCGTGGTCATTGGTCAAAGATCATTTCGTGGACATAAAAAACGTCTTCAACATTTTGTAGTGAGATTTGACCCAAATAAGATGTGTGTCTGTTTAAAAGAAGAACAACAGAAAGTAGAGAGACAAGGACTGTTATATAAAATGTTCAGAGGGACCTCAACCACGTGTTTTTTCACTTCAAGATCATTTTGAACCCTTTCAATGACCCATGCTTACCCTCAGAGCTTTGAACCACTGGTTTTCAACAATTGTCCTTTTTTGTATTTTACGTCAAGGGTGTGAGTCAGAATGAGTCATTCACTTTTAATCCGTCTAGTTGTATAGTTGTCACACTAACACAAATATTTCACTCTGGGTATTTAAATTAGTACATCACCAAGAATTCCCCTACGATGCCTCACCAAGGGGATTTCTCCTTGCAGGAGCAGTGGTGGAGGAGGGGTATAGCCAAAACTTCAAATGTCACATTCTGAACTGAATCATATAAAAGCATCATAATAATTGTGTGATAATCAATACGCTATAAAATGATACAATAAGCAGTTTAATGTATTCCCTGAAAACACAGACCCATCGTTGATCATTTGTTCTTGCTTTTTCCTGCTATGGCTAAATGTCTGTTGTGAGAAAGTCCTGTGGGGGTCTTGCATGGACAATGTGTGAGCATGCACATAATTTTTCTTAGGTGCATTTAATTCGTGCAAAATTACATAGTACTGTACAGGAAAGTCCTTGGGATATTTTTTGCGTTTTGTTCTATCGTCCAAAGATGCTGTATGTTAAATCTTGAAGTGTATTTTCCCGGCTGTTTACAGAGCAGCACAAATAAAGGGACCGCTACAAGAGAGTTAAACTCGATGCAAATCATATGGCGTGTTTTAAGGTTAAAACTAGCTTATGTCTTCGTCAGCAGACCAAGACTGAAGACAAAGAGGACTACAGCCAATGGGTTATTGTTAAAATGTTAAACATATTTCCTTTCTCTCCATCCATCGAGAAGCCCGACAATTAAAGGGTTAAAGAAACTGGAAGTGCAGCAATGAGCCCCCTCCTCCTCCTCCTCTTCCTCCTCCCTCTGTCTGCTGGACCCATCCGTCACACAAGGAAAGTTCCTGACCCTTAACGTTTATTTGTGACCAAATTATTTCACCCACACATCATTGTCTGGATATTTTGGAATTAAAGGCCACACCTCCCTGCTTTGAGGAAGAACACATCTGTAGCTTATCGTCAAAACGATGCCAAGGTGAGTGTAAAGCCGGTTTACCCCTTCGCTGCATTGACCACTTTTTGTGTGGTTTAAGTGTTACTAAAAGTTAAATATAATCAAAGTTTTTAAGGTTCTGGAAAGTTTTTGTCGCGCTGCTTTACGTACCCTGCTGTGGTCAACGTAAGCAACCCGCCCAGTGTGTTAACCCATAAGACACTGCGCGCTATGTGTTAGCAAAACAACGGTTACAAACATTTCTTATGATAATTTAATGCTACCTGACATTTTGACACTCGCATATCATTGCCTTTTAGTTTATTAAGCGTAACATGTGACCCAGGTTATACTGTTTAAGAGTGAAAAGAGATAAACAGATGATGATGAATGTTGCAGTTGCAGAACTATTTCCGACTTGAAATCCCACTTTAGCTACATGTTGTACAGGGGGCTTTGTGGGAGGAAATAAGATGTTTACTACCGGGAAAGTCAATGTGTTACTAACTTTACTGTTAAACCTGTTAACTGGTGAAATATAACCTTTAGTGTGCAGAGCTACACGCCCCACACAGGTCAATAATATGTGATAACTTCACGTAAATGTTCCTCAGGAATCCTCAACAGGCTGCTGAGGGATGTTCAGTGTGTGTGTGTGTGTCCACCAGGCAGCTGCCATGATGCGCATAATCCAGTCCCATGCCACGCATTCCTCACTGAGGGTATTCCTAAATTGGAGCTGGCTTTAACTTTCTTCAGGCTTTTCCCCTCACTCCCAGCAGGTCTGGGCATGTTTGCAGTGTACAAACATACCTTGAGGGTGGATTCAGGGACAAATGAGTGGTCATTTTCAATTACCACATGGTTTCTTTTATAGATTATTTTTCCTTGTACTTCTTATCTGACCTATGTTTACAGCTCCCAGCAGTCTTCATCTATTCTCTGATCTTGCAAAGATACAATAGTTACACTGCAGGGTAGCCCGGTGATAAATGGCCTGTATGTGTTCCAAGTATGCAGTGGATGTGCAAGTATGCTGAAATCATGCTCTCTGCATTACTGAGAATCATTGTACTGTGTGCAACACTCACATTTAGGTCCACAACTAACAAGGTTATCATATTATCCATAATAGATCATTCTGTTTACTTTTTATTAAATAATACACAGACAAATGTCCATCCCATTTTTAAATGTCTCTTATGGCTGTCTTTAATATATCAAATATATTCAGTTTCAGCCAGTTATTCATGGAAAAGATTAATCTATTATCAAAGTAGATGCCGATTATTTAACTGGTACACTGATAGTCACAATTCTTGGTAAATGAATGTTAAACTAATAATGTTTCCCTTAATGTTTGGCTTTGGATTGACATGAAAGCACATACTGCTATGAACATTAGATTTAAAGGATGGAAAAAGAAAGTACCCTTATTGTTTTATTTTTACAGTGGCCATACAGTAGCAGCCCTTATCTACCCTTGTAATGTGTGGACATTGGGTAACGAGTGACTTTGAAAGGCAAGTCGTCTGTCAATTGTTTACCATGCAGCACACCTATTCACAGAAAACCTTTTACTAAGGTAATTTTACTTCAGGGAAATTAATGTTCCGTCATTTTTCCAGTAAAAGCAGTTGGTTCTCATAAAGAACAAATATCTGGGCGGCAGCAACATGATCTGTTCTTCATTATAACGGGCTGAGGAGAGTCATACCCTTGTTGCTGTTACATTCTTTGGTATGTTTCTAAGTCTGTGTTGAACTCACATTTACTTCTCTCTACAGCTTTTGACCTCCCTGCAGCTGGTCTGACTGAAAGTTTGGGACTGACAAGATGCGTTCCAGTGTGGATGTTCCACCAAGCGCCGTTGGAAGAGGAGTTGCTGGCAGCAACAACAACAATAACAACAGCAGCAGTAGTGAAAACACTGGAAACTCAGGTTCCCAGTATGCACTCTGTGCTCTGGGCGTTGGGCTTGTTGCCCTGGGCATTGTGATGATTGTTTGGAGCGTGGTACCTGCAGACGCGGCTGGAAACAACAACAGCAGCAGTAGCGGTTCAGGAGAGGACAGTGGTACGAGCGGGAGGAAACATAAAGCGTCCTCCGTGGCCTTCGTGTTGGTGGGCTCCGGGGTGGTCATGCTGCTGCTGTCCCTGTGTCTGGGGATGAGGAACAAACAGCGGGAGCAGCTCATGCTGCAGGAGGCTCAGAGCCACAGAGTGGCTGCTCGGGAGCAGGTGGAGAGAGAAACGTGAGTCCAGTCATCGATTTCTACTTAAACAACAGTTTTTTATGCCAACTGCAAACCCTTTGCACGTGAGAACATTTTGCTGGTGGATTTGTTTATTTATTTTAAATATTATTTTGTTTGGTCAAAACTATTATTAACAGATTATTTTACAAGCGTCAATGATCTGTAACATTTTACTTTTACTTTAAGAGCATTATTAAAATGAGTGATTGTATCCATGATATTGATAACAAGGTCTAGTATATTTGTTATCAAATCACAAAGCACATTTTCCTCTTTGAGGTTCTGAGACTTAAAACGTAGCTGTCGAACAGCAGCCTTTTTAATTCAAAGCATGTATGCATAAGTCTTGACTATTTCTCCTAGCTAGGACATCATTGATATTAATTAGAAAAGTATTTTGTGGTTAACCCTAATCCTGACCCCAGAGATAAAATTTGTTATATTTTACAGAAGTTTTCTTTTTGCTTGCGAAATGTTCATGAATTTGTCGATCAATTATTTGCGATTTACCTAATATCCTTGCATTTTCAAATTGTTTAAATAAGTGCTTTTAAAAAAAATACCCAACGCCATATTGGTCTTCCAATTCCACCTTTGCAGTTTAAAAATGATTTATTGAAATCATTTTTGCTATGATAATGAAATGAATAAAATAATATGATTCTTTCAGATTACATAAATAATAACACTTTCAGAAGAAATAAGTTAACATTTTGCTATGATGGTTGTTCCTTACAGTCGGTAGTGTTTTAATGTTAAAATGTATGTATATTGAGAATGAGTGTTGAAGGCATTAAATCCACTTAAAATATTTGGAATAATAATTAGATGTATTAATAATTATTCCCCTTCTCATTTTTAAGATCAAGTACAGGACATAACAGAGTTCACCGTTTTTCATGCTTGTCATTCATGTCTCTATGTCTCTATAAATGTGTGCAGTGCCGAGGAGCAGGCCGAGCGTTACGCTGTCCCCAGCTACGAGGAGGTGGTGGGCAGCGGCCAGTACCCTGTCAGTCAGAGCAACCTCCGCCCGAGCCCCTCCCAACTACCGTCCTACGATGACCTCGTCCAAGTTGACGGGGTACAGTATGAATTTGAGGGGTCGGAGGTCACAACTCCCGGATCGCAGCCGGCCCCACCCGCTGCAGCTTCCACATCAAATCGCAAAGCTGGGAAAAATAACCGCAAGCTCCTCCCGATCAAGATCCGCAGGATTAAATCTGAGAAGCTGCAAATGAAGAACATTGATAACTCTCAGCCAGCAGCTGGGTTCAGTATAGAACCGCTGACCCCTCCGCCGCAGTATGAGGATAAAGTGCCTCCCATTTAATATCAAGCTGATCGTGTTTAAAACAATCTACTGACATTCCTGGAACTGGATCTGCGTTTTGAAAAGACTTGAAGAGGGCTCTTCCTGCAGAACATTCGGAGTGAAACATTTTTATAAAACACTGTTTTTGTTCTAGCTCATCCCTGCTGAAACCTTTATACTTTTCTAACGTTGGATCTCTGAAACACACAGACAGTGAAACACAAACTTGCTGGAACCTTCCTCAGTGTGACAGATTCTTTCAATCTGTGGCACGTTGGACTAAAAGCACACACCAAATGCAGTTTTCCTTCAAGTCGTTTTCTGATTATGCATCGTCTTTGGGTGGTCCAAAGTGCGCTGACTGTAGAGGTGAGTGGACGGGGAAAGAGATCATAGGACATCGTGGAGCGGTTGGATTACAACCAGCGGTTTACCAAAAGTGATGTGGTATGCCTCACTAAAACTCCCCCTCCGAGTTACAAATATATTCTCTCCTTGTCCTCTAGAGCTTTGCAGAAAGTGAGAGGATTTTGGCCAATGTTGACACTAGCTTCAGGTTTTCTTTGTCCCTCTCATTTTAAAAGCTGAAACATGAAACTAGGGTTTACATATTCAATGATGGGGAATCGACTGGACAGCGTTATTTAAGAAACGACTCAGACAAAGCTTTGTTAGCATCTATCTGCTCCCATGACTCTTATCCACAGGCCCTCTACCAGAGCCTGAGGAAATGTAGTTGTTGAACGCTAACAGAATATCACTTGTTTTCTCATGATTAGAATATAAAAGCACTTAAATGTTAGTGAATATCAGCACATTTAAGAGACAACCTATATTTCTCCCTAGAAAGACTAAACCCTGTGCTGTACATGGGCTGGAGGCTAGTTTGAAAACGGCGTGGAACTTAAGCTGATGTCTCTAAGGTCGTGGGTGTTTCTTTACTAAGCAGTTCCAAAATCAGGTGTCATTTGTCTAATATATGCATCATGAAATAGTATTTTTACTTAAAGCTGTAGTAAGGACGTTGACCTTTTTGAATGCACAAAGATGCCTAAACAAACCCAACATCAGCTCGTGTTTTTTCTGTTATTTCATTGCTAACAAGCTAGTCAAATTCTGCCTAACTATAGAACAGATTATCGAACAGATTATCACGCTATTATTAGAGATTTGTTTCCAACTAAGTGAGCAATGAAAGTCTAGGTTTAAGTTGATTTATAACCTTCCTGAGAAACATAGATTGGACTTTAGCTTGCTAAACTCTCCTGACAATTACCTCATTTAGTTTGGCTCTCTTCCATATTTCTCATGAGACTCAGCCATAAGTCTAGCTAAACAATGAGCTTCAGAGTCTGTGAGTGTCCAAACAAACAGACATTAGGAAATGTATACTATGGTTAGTGAGATACTGGGAGGGGACTGTGATTAATGTTTTGGCTGAATTCTTATATTTACACTTATCATAGCTTCCTTTTTCAAAGAGAAATTACATTCTGGGGTGTAGACGGTCTCCTTCCATGAAGTCTTTAAGGAGTGCCTCTGCTAACCCCCTGGAGGAGTTTGCCCTCCGGAAGTGAAGTGCCTTCTGTGTTCATAACAACTCTGCTGCTTCTCCAAAAACATTTTGAAAAGGCATTGTATGACTGAACCTGAGCTCTAATGTTGCTCCTACAATGCAGTGTTTAAAAAGAGAAGGAAGGAGGTGAGAGCATAATGGAAGGAGCCGTTGAATAGTTGAAAGCCCTGTAGCCATGGCGAACACTGTGGTGCTGTGAAGGCAGTAGTGTAGTCTCTGCTTCTCTCCCCGCTTTCTATTTCGTACTCAAAAAAGAAAAGAAAAGCTCTTTGTCTGTGCAGCTGCAACATAACAACAGCAGCCATTGCTCTCTCGCTTGCTCATCCCCATGAATTCACTCAGAAGTATGCAGAGAATGAGCACAACAGAGAAAAGACAAAGTGGCCTGAGATCTAAAACTGTGCACTATTTCATTATTGCCTGTCAACCTACGATTTGAGTTTAAATGTGATGAAGTTGCATCGTTAAAGATTGTTTCCTCTTTTGTTGTGTGATATATATATATATATATATATAAGCCCCATTTCATTAGTGACTTTATAACCTACATCTGCACTGTGTGTGTTTGAGTCAAACTCAGTGTAGTTAATGCAGAAAAGCTCCTCCATCATTTACAGCTAGTTGTATTATATATTGCCAAGTCAGGGAGAAAAGCCTTTCAATGCCTACATTCACCGGGCCTTTATTCTTTTGTCATGTTCAGTACTGCCGAAATATTCATCGTACCTCGTTTTGTAAAAGACCATTTCATTACATGATTGATTTTATATGACTGTAGTCAAAATGTTTTACATTGATGAAATCATTTAGAAGTCACTTTCTGTTTTACATAGACGAGTGTCCCAAACACATTGTGTCAGTTCATTTATCATTGCTTTTTTGTTTTGCTACTTCAATCTTTCTTTTATATGTACTGTGAAAATGTGCTTTTCTATGCTCATTCTATATTTGTTTGTGGAAAATAAGAGTTTTTCTCTGAAGAGTTAAACAAATGTATCTCATGAATATTGAATGAGAAATAAAAGGAAGTATTTGTTAATTAATCGATGTGTTTAAGAAGCGTATTTTGCCGTGGTTACTCAACAGTTGACTTGTTACCATAATCCACTGAACATTTGTTACTGTTCACCAATGCTTAGTTAATAGGCAGCTACTGTGCTGTAAGCTAAGAACCATCTGAATGCTTTCTAGTTGTCAAGGCCCTGCATGGCAACGTTAAAAAAAGAGAAGGTTTTAGGTGTCCAGGACATAGACAGTACTTCAGCATTCCATTAACAAACAGGCTCTTTGCATTCCTTTGCACTGAAGAAAAGCACATTTTATTTTATTTGCCAGTAGGAAAATGAGAAATCACTGTTGTTCTTACTGCTGACGGAAGCACTGGAATAGCTCCTTCAGTTGTTGGTCATAGCCTGCAGAGTAAACAACATAAAACACAATTATAACATACTTCCTGTTTTTGAAATCCGAGGCTTTTGTTCGCTTCAGGTGACATTGTTTATGCTGGCAAGTAATCACAAAATGAAAGTGTTCCTCACTGTGTTGATCCAGTCGATGTAGGAGCTGGCTTTAGTGAAGACTGTCGGCTTCTGGAGAACGTTGCAGCCCTGACCGGAGCCAAAGCTCACGGCGCCGTGGACGACCCAGGAACCATCGGGGTTCTGACAGTTCAGGGGCCCACCAGAGTCCCCCTGCAGGTCAGCACACACACTGTTGGACAGCAGCTAATTTACAGACATTACGAAGGTACGACTTCCAGTGCTCACTTTAGTCATGCTGAACTGTTATTTTACACTCTTTCAAAGTAAAACGTATTTTCCTTTAACCTTCCTTTCATTGAGTCTTTGAAACTGTACTAAATGGAAACGTTAAAGATGACATAAATCATTGCTTTGATCGACCAAGAAAGGTTGACCAATCTTCAAAATGAGAGTAAATGGAAAATATTCCCTCTAGTGTTGTGATGTTAGATTCACCCAGTTAAAATGGAGGTGCTGCCTACTTGTTTTGACTGTAAAGGAAAAGGGTTTGTTATTCAACTCTGGGAGCAATGGTTCCAAAATGTCTTAGGCATTGTTGAAAGAGTTGGACCACATTGAATAAGAAGCCGGGTCGTAACAATGAGTCACAAAGAGGAACATATGAGAGAATGGTGCAATCACTGTTTGCTATAACATCTCTAGAAAGGAGTAGTAACCCGGTTTAATCTTCAACTTCCCTGAGTGAACTCACATTACAGCCAGCGGTGATACCATCCCCCCCGGCACAGACCATCTTGTCCGTTGCCAGGACGCTCCACCAATCGGGCAGTGAGCAGGTCTCCTGTCCGACCACAGGGAGCAGAGCCTGCTGCAGGAGGTCAGCCCTAGGGCCACTGGCTGTGGGCACAAACAGGCTTAACTCAGGTAGGAAATTAGATTTAGCTCTAAAGGGAGGTTTGCTCAGGGGACAGGTGGAGTGCTGCTGGGAGATAAGGGAGAGCAAGATGATTTCATTTAATACCAAAACTAATGCTATCCCGTGCTAAACTGGATCATGCTCTAGTTGTGTAACTTTACAGCTTTCATACAAACAAACTCTTCCCTGAGTGGAAACTTCTAACTAAATCACACATGTCTTCTTGTTGAATGATAGAAAGAGCATGCTTTTCTATTGTATGACAAAATCTATGTCAAATGCAGTAAGCAGAGTATTTTAATGTAAAACTAAATCCAATAAAATGCATGGGTTGTGTTTATTATTTTGTCTTGTTGGAACCATAGAGGTTGGAACACATCAAGCCTACTTGCTTGAACTGAGAGTGTTCCCACTTTTCAAAACAAGAGTTATGGTTAAAGTCAAAACATAACCATGCTGTTATTTAAATACGATCTTGGTTAAATTGGATGCTCTATTAATGTACTCATGGCCAATTGTTGACTCGGATACATTTTTAACATGATTTATCTCATAGTGATATAACTTGTGTGATAGTATTACAGTAAATGGACAATGTCCCTTATTTAAGGATGCATTGTTTCTACCTATTGCTCATTTCTGGTATTTTCTTCTTGTAAAAATATTTGTTTATATTTTACACACCATTTAATTAAAAAAGCTGATCTGCATCTGTTGAATTGGTACTTTGGTAGTAAATGAATCCCTACAAGAGGTATGGTTAGGACTGAGATTTCTTAGCAGGCTGATGGATATAAGTTCAATCTTTTTGACAAATGAATTGCTGTGAAATGTCTTTGGCTTTGACATCATAATAATAATAATAATAATAATAATAATAATGAAAATAATAATAATAATAATAATAATAATAATAATAATAATACATGGGACTTATATAGCGCTTTTCTGGAAACTCAAAGACATCAGTAATTTGACCTACATTGAGTGAAATGTGCATAAACCCTGACTCAACACCTCTAGCAGACTTTCAATAAGTCCAGTGTGGACATTTGCAATGCAGTCGCAGATTGATTCTGCGGAGGTGCTTCGACTCACTGGAGAGTCGACCCCAGCCGCTGACGTAACAGGGGGCGCCATGGGGCAGGACCACGCCCCGGGCCGGGAGGCAGGCGGGCATGACGGTGTCAGAGAATGTGACGGGGGAAGACAGCTTGATAAGGGCGATGTCGTTACTGCAAAAGGCAAACAACAACACACCTACAGTGAAGAAGTAATGACAACAAATCGATGGTTTGCTGAGTCAACAGTGAACTGATACTCTGCTAAAACATGGCCTCCTGCTGATGCTGCTCTTCACCAGGACTCCTGAGGTGTTATTGAGCTGTTGAGTGTGTGTTACCGGCTGAGCATGGTGTTGTAGTCGTCGTGACTGATAATTGTGGCTGCCCTCCTCGCTATCGAGCCCTCCTCGCTGGTCTTCAGGCTGTGTTTACCGAGCTCCACTCTGTAGTTGTAGCGGTCACTGTGGGATGGCAGATGACACGCGGTTCAGACAGTAGTATTGACTTTCCCACCTGTGTGGACAATACTGATTAAGCCCATGGTGTACTGCAAATGTTTGGTAGTCCTGTAGAGATAATGCGTGGAGACCAAGCTGTTTTTAAAACGGTAATGTTACAGTAGGCTATAGTTATTCTACTTTTGTATTAAGATTCTGATTTAAAAAAGGAAAGAACAACTTCTTGAACGTCTCTAAATACCATTCTCTTATTTATTTGGTCCAGGCATGGTGGTTGTTTACTGAAATACCCTGCTTTTCTGTTCATTCCCAAACCCAACATCTCTCACATTACCAAACAAAGCAAAACTCAGAATCCCCTGTAGGGCAGAGGAGTATTTCCCGACAAAGATCTTTGGTTAGGCATAATACATATAAGGGTCATAACAGTTTTTAAATGTTGTATGTTTTTTTCCCAAAACGTTGTCCATATATATTTTGTACCATATCTAAATTACACATATCTACTAAAATAACCGTACATTTTTATAATGTATTTTCAGACTGTATTGGAATGTTCTTCCTCTACCAAAAATGGTCACTACCGAAACATTTTATTATTTGTATTTATTTATAGAAGGACCATGCATACAAAAACATTAATCTCAGCAAAGAGAAGAGATGCAATATGCCAGATTATAGCTAATAGCTCATTTCCATCTGTGGTCCTCAGGCAGGTTCATAACAATAGATAAACAAATAACAACATTGCATGATCTCTATCAGTTAAACAATTTTAAAACCTGATTTAAGTACAGCTCAATACATTAATACTAAGTACACTTGAAATACACTTACATGATCTCGGTCACTCAAATAATTATAAAGCCTGATTTAAATACGGGTTGCGAACATAATACTTAGTACACTTCAAATACACTTAAATAAAATATCTAAGATATAGTATGACAATACAGTTCAAATTAAAAAAAACTCAGATACAGTGTAATTAATGTTGGCATGACTGGTTGCTTAATATCATTTTTTTTTCAACATAGGAAAACGAGTTAAAATCAGTACAGGTATTAAGTTCAACTGGAAGAGTATTCCAGTGCTTGATGGCCGTAAACAAAATGCTGATT